CACTCTACCTGAACAAAAAATGGAAAAAATGTCCTCTGTGAAGATAAAAAAAAAAAATCAGTTTTATAATTATCTACAAGATTCTACACAATCTGGCCTCTGCATAAGTAATCGCCTATCATTTCTCCTCTCTCATTCTGTTCCAGCCACACTGGCTTCGCTGTTGTTCCTCAAATACACCTGGTGCGTTTTGCTTTTTCCCTACCCTACAAGGTTTTTGTAGTTACTCTTCACTTTGCCTGGATCATCCTTCCCCCAGATATCTCTACTGCACACTTTTTTCTATCATTGAGATTCTTTGTTCAAATGTCACCTATGCAGAAAGGCCTTCCCTAACCTCTGTAAAGGGAGAGATTTTCTTTTTTTTTTTTTTTTATCCTCACCCGAGGACATTTTTCCATTTTTTGTTCAGGTAGAGTGGGAGGGAGAGAGAGGAACAGAGAGAGAGAGAGAAACATCGATGTGAAAGGAACACATCGAGTGGCTGCCACCCGCACAACCGACCAGGGCCGGGGACAAACTGCAACCGAGGTACATGCCTTTAGCGGGAACCGAACCCGGGTCTCTCAGGACCGCAGGCCAACGCTCTAACCGCTGAGCCAAACCGGCCAGGGCAGGGAGAGATTTTCTTTATGCTATATCCCCAGTGCCTAGAATGGAACCTAGCACATAGCAAGTACTCAATCATTATTGACTCAATGAATACATCTTATTTTCTCCATCCCTACCACTTCTACCCTAATCCAGGATTGACTGGTCACTTTGCCTCCAATCTCACTCTCTTTCAAAATGTTCTCCAATCCTGGCCGGTTTTGCTCAGCGGTTAGAGCATTGGCCTGTGGACTGGAGAGTCCCAGGTTCAGTTCCCGCTAAGGGCACGTATGTACCTTAGTTGCAGTTTGTCCCCGGCCCCGGTTGGGGTCATGTGGGTGGCACTCGATGTGTCTCTCTCACATCAATGTTTCTCTCTCTCTCTCTTCCTCCCTCTCTCCCTCCCACTCTTTCTGAAGATAAATGCAAAAATGTCCTTAGGTGAGGTTAAAAAAAGAAAACAAACAAAAAAAGTTCTTCATTCAGCAGACAGGGATGGTTTTAAAATGAAAGCTTGATGCCTTAAACCGTATACTGTAGGCAATTTGGACTCTACAGTTCCCAAGAAGAGTGTTGGGGTTTTGCTCTTGTTGTTCTGCCTGCAAGGAGACCTTTTGAAAATGAAGCACCTCTTCTTTTGCTCAGTTCATCCTTAAACGTCCTTCAGGTTTTTTTTTTTTTTTTCTTTATTGATTTTTAGAGAGAGAGGAAGGGAGAAGGAAAGAGAGATAGAAACATCGATGAGAGAGAACATTGATTGGCCTCCTCCTGCATGCCTCCCACTGGGTTCGGCCCACAAAGTGGGCATGTGCCCTTACCGAGAATCGAACTGGTGACCTCTTGGTCACCATGGGTTGACACTCAACCACTGAGCCACACTGGCCAAGCCATCCTTCAGGTTTTGACTTAATGTCATTTCTTTTGGAAAGCCTTTTAAAAATCTCCCTAGATTGTGTTGGGCATCTTTTCTGTGTGTATACCCTAGCATAACCTTTAATAAAGGGTTAATACAAATTGAGCAATTACTATGTGCCAGGCATCTTGTGCACATTCTCTCATATAATCCTTGCATTGATTTTTTTTTCTTTTAGATTGAGTGGGAGGGAAGGAGGAAAAGAGAGAGAGAAACATCGATATGAGAAAGACACATCGATTGGATGCCTCCTGCACGACCCCGACCAGGGCCAGAGATCAAACCCAAAACCGAGATATGTGCCCTTGACTGGGAATCGAACCCATGACACTTTGGTCTGCGGGCTGTTGCTCTAATCATTGAGCCAAACCAGACAGGGCTCACATAATCCTTGCAAAAACTCTGTGAAATAAGTATCGCAGATGAAGAAATTGAGGCACAAGTTAGTTAGCTTGTCTTAGTCACACTGACAATTGGTGAGGCTGGGATAGGACAAAAAGCAGCTTCGTCCTTCCTCTTTTATAGCTCTTCCTTGTAATTGTTCCTTGTCTGTTTTCCCTCACGGCATTATGAGCTCCTTAAGGCTAGGCCTGTGTCCAGCCTCCCAGCATATAGCAGAGTGCCTGCTTCAGGTTTGTTGAAAGAACAAGTGAGTGAACATATTTTCTAGTTCTTACCCTTCCCACAGTGGTATTGTAGAAGCTCAACAATACACAGATGGCCTTCCCCTGTGTTATAAAGGCTGCGACCCAGAAGGCCCATTCTCTTTCCTTTCAGGACTCTCAGTACTGAAATTGGGTATGAGCTGGCAGTGGGTGAAATTGGAAAAACAAAGTAACAGGGGTACTTCCCTCGGTTCTCTGGCCTCAATAAGGCTACTACTGTCATCACAACCCTCTCAAAGTCTCCCTTGCCCCTCAAGTTACTCAGAGAGCTATGTCACAAGAACTATGGACACCCACCAGCGTCATCATGCTCCTTCCTCCATCTTGCCCTTAGCTCTCTCCCACAGGATTCCTGGCACTGAGAGGTGGAACTGGGTCATTCCCACCATACCTCCATAGAAGGGTCCTGGAGATGGTTGCTCCTCCCAGACCATATCCTGACCTATCACTGCAGTCATGGGACACACCTCCTGCCCAACAAATCACTCCCCTCACCCCACCCTGGCCTCCCCACCTGCTCCCCCTCTGAAGCCTGCAGCTGCCTCTGCGTGTCAGGCTGGGTTGAGTCACTTCCAGCATGCATTCGCCTTCTGGTCAGGCCAGTTTGACAAATCTCTCAGGCTCCCCAGGCCCTGGCCCTGGAGCTTGTGGGCACCCCCCCCAAACCAGGGATCCATATCACCCTACCCCACCCCCAGGAGCCCTTCTCTTTCCAGAAACAACCCCAGCCTAGTCCTGTCTCTCCTGGAATCACCTAAGCACAGGATCTTGCTATTCTGTACTCTTTGGAGCAAGAACCTCACTCTGACCCTGGGTCCTTCTAGGCTAGTTAGACAAGGAGGGTTAGATAAGCACCCCCACCACCAGTCTCCAAGGAGAAAGGGGAAATGGTATGGCCTGGGCCATCTGGGATTATTAGCCTGGCTCCAGACCCTCCCAGTTCCCTTGCTCTGACTGCCAGAGGGACTGAGGGCCCTAGATGGGAACTGCTCCACTGTGAACTGGGGGCCAGCCACAGTTCAGTGGGAGGTCACAGGCCGAAGGAGGAGAGCTGACTTCCAGCTGGGTAAGGACCCCAGATATGGCTAGTTTTCACAGCAGACAGGGAAGAAGCTAATAGTCTCTTCATAGGAGCTGACACCCTTCCTCCTCCCCTCTTGTGATGCCCCCAGCATTTCTGCCACTTGCCCCAGGAGAACCCCCTGGGTACTACAGCTCCATCCCATCCCCAGGACCAAGAGAAAAGGCCCTGCTACTACCCAAGCCTAGCAGGAAGGGGAAAAAATGTGTGAGGACCCAGAGTAGTCCTGCAGGTTCCAGAAACCCTGTCTCAGTGCAGACCCTTCCTGCCTGTCTCTAAGTTCCCAGGCTGTTGCTGTCTCCCTCATGGGCATTGAACTCCGTGTTTCCACACCATGTCCTGAAGAGACATGAGCTGGACATCCAGGGAAGGAAGAGCCACCCACCTCTTCACCCAGATCAGGTCCAGAGAAGTTGATAGTAAGGATGGGCTGGCCTCAGTGTCACCCAGTGGGTGTGCTGGCTCTGAGGCTGCTCCTCCATCCTGCCCCAGGCTCTGGATTATGAGGATAAATGCAGAAGCCCAGTGAGGGGAGTGGCTGACTCTTGGCCCCAGCTGGAAGTGGGAGCAAGGACGCCAAACTGAAGGTGAAGGAGACCCATCTTCCCAAGGGGAAAGAGTTTTTTGGTGAGAGGAAGATAGAAGAGGAATGAAGGGTCTTTACCCACCCATTTATCTCCCCAGACTGTGTTCTATGCTCTTACCCCTTTGACCTTATAGGAATTCAAAGCCATTAAAAGAGAGACTGTCCCCGCAGAGTCATTTCTGCATGACTGAAGAGTCACCAGCTGCATGATCCTGTTCCTTGCCCCCCCCCCCCCCCCCCGGCCCCAGTAACAGTTTTCAGGAACTTTCCCTACCCCGGCTTCTTATTTTTATTTTTAAAATTTGAGAGTATGTTTATGAAAGCTGGTGACAGTGAAACAAAGAAGGGCTCAGGACAGAAGAAGCGATAGGAGAGCCTAGGCGGTTGCTTTGGCTCACTGAGAAGTCAGGGAAAAGGGGGCCTTGGAAACAGGTTCAGGGGGCTAGCCCTGGACAAACTGCCACTGCCCGTTGCTTCCCTGATTTCAAATCCCGTGGGGTCACTTAGAGTTTAGGAAATGCGTGCCTGAGAGGAAAGAAGAGGGAACAGGAAAGGTGCGGGTGTGTTCCTAGCTTTTTCTAAATGGTCGAGTCCAACCCACCCCGCCTGGGCCCCGGGCTTCCCACTCCCCCACTCCGGACAGCCAGAAAGTAACACAAGACCCAGCACTTCTGCAAATACATTTAATGCACTTAGATTATACAGAGGAAGAGGGGGCAAGAAGGAAATGACGTCAAAGTGAGTCACCCAAAATTCTTACAAAAGTTCCTGGCTGGCTGCAGCCCCTAGGAACTGAGTCGCCATTGACATTAGAAACCAATAAAAAATTTTACAAAATCTGCTCGTTGCAGCATTCAGGTACTTGTACAAAAGAAGGGCTCTCTCTATAGAGCTCCTGATTTGTAACAGGGACCCAGGTAGTACCTCACCTGGCATGAAGGACCTGGAAGCCAGAGAGGAAAGAACCAGATACAAAAAATACTCAGAAATCCCTTGATTTCTTTACTGGTCTGCCCCATAGGGGCACCAACTTTCAGGTTTTTTCCCTGCTCTCAACTCAATCTCAAAACCCAGTCCCAAGACCCTGTGTTTGTTTTTAAAAACACTCTAGCCCTTTTAGACTCTCCCCAAGGCTTCCCAGTCCCTGCCCTGGAGCCTGGCCTAGGGGAAGAGAAGGGCAGGAAAAAGTACCAGCTCCCCAGCCAGACCTGAGACCTTACATGAGCCTCCCCATTCCCTCCGAATGGCAGCTGGGTCTGTGGTCCTCTTGCCACCTACTGGATGCGAGGAGCCACAGGAGTCTGCCTCATGTAGCATGGGAGCCCCTTCCTAGCACCAGGGACCTGGAGGGTCGGGTAGGACCAGGCAAACTTCAAGGAAGCCTGTGGAAGAGGCATATGAGGGAGGGAAGCTTACCTCCCCACTCGCTATGAGATCAGGGCTCCCAAAGGGGTGCAGGGAGGGAAAGAAGGGATTTATTTAGCAAGCACCCACCATGGTTCAGGTGCTGTGCTAAGCACAGTACATGGTCAGCCTTGCTTATTCCCCAGTGAGGTCCCCTCTCACCAGCCAGCTCAGTGGAGAGCTCCTTCCACAAAAACCTCTGGGAAGGCATCACTGCACGAGAAAGTTTTGGTGAGACAGCGGGTGCCCTGCCACTTCCCCAGAGCCAATGCGCCATAGGGAAAGGAAACGAAGGCCTTGCCCCAGCATGACCCTGGAGGTTCCTGACATGGTGGGGCAGGAAGGGGCTATAGGCTTCACAGGCTCATCATCTCAGAGCTCACCTACTTCCCTCCTGCCTCCCATATTGATGACAAAGCTTAAAAAATACCTTCCTCCCCACTGCCAAGCCAGGCAGGTGGAGGCAGGGTCCCAGAAAGAGAACTTGGTGGAGAGGCAGGGTGGCAAGGAACAGAAGAAAGGTGATGGCACCTCTCTGACCATGAAATGTCAGAAGACAAGAGCTTCAAAGGCAGGGAGGGATGCTGTGGTGGGCAAAGGCCAGAAAATGTCCTTTTCAAGTTCTCAGAGAAGGCACAGCTGCTGCCAACATCAGGTCCAGAGGGTTCCATCTTGGCTAATGGGAGCCTAGAGTCCATCTCTCCCAGTATTCCAGGCTGATCTGCCTTGAAGCTCCGAGTTTGATGGAGTTAACCAACTAGACCTGAGGGTGTGTGCAGAGAAAGGGCCAGGCCCCTTCGAAGTCCAGCTGCTGCTCCCTGGAGAGCCCAGTCACTGCCTTCATGGCCCCTGGAGGCAGCTTTGCCTGGATCTCTCATCAGAGGGGTCCTGTACCCATGGGTCTCCTGTGGCACTTCTGGTGGTGGTGATGCCTGTGTGTATGGTGCTGTAGGTAGGAGCAGAGCATGGTCTCTAGTAGACAAAATGGCTTGGCTTTGCACAGGCCTGAAGGGTGATCTTGAAATAGCAGTCCCTAGAGTCGGGGGTAAGAGGGCATGAAAGGGGCTTGTTGATTGCAGGGTAGAAGTGGGAGATAACCCAAGAGGAACCCCCAAACCATAGGCCAGAGATAGGCTGGCTTCTGGGAGGAAGACCATGAGAACTGCAGCACTGGAGCAAGGGACCAAAGACCACAAGAGGCCCACATGCAGGACAGGAATGGGAAATGAAAGATGAGAAATGAGTGGACGCAGGGAGGATAGGAGGGCAGGAGAGTGCAGTGTTTGCAAAATCAAAGTGAAAGACATGTTTGAGGCTTAATTTTTCCATTTTTAATAAGCCAGAGTTCTGTAGCCTAGAGGCTGGGAGGCCCAGGGGATGAGAAAATGGGACAGGAGTGGTCAAAGAGCTGGACACCCAGGCCCTGAGTGGCAGGTGGGAATGATCAGCGAGGTGCTGGGCCTCACCTTCTTCTAGGCAAGCCTGGTTGTGTGGAAAAGGCCTGGAAGATGAGGCTGAGGCCACAGTCTCTGAGACCCTGATGGTCCTTGAACTTTGTGGGGCCCAGTCCACTTGGGAACCAGCAGCATCCCTTCTTGGCCCCAGCTAAATTGGGCTCAAGGCTTCATGGGGGAGTGTCTCGCTCTCCCCTGCCCCAGGCTCCACCCGGCCCATCTGGGAAGGAAAGCCTCTTTCTGAAGCTGGCTCCTCTGGGCCCTGGGTTGGCGGGCGAACACGGAGCACCGGCACCTCCTCTGGCGGCAGTTCAGGGGGAGACGGCCCCAGGCCCTTGTCTGAGAGAATGCAAAAGTTCATCTGGGAATAAAGTTCTGTTTAAAAAACATTATATACACAGCTTCTGGACATCTTTGAAGAGCAATAAAATACCATCAGTTTCTACAAAATAAAATAGAGGAAGAAAATAAAACACAATCAGAGGAATTGTTCTGTGGCAAGAAGAGCTTGACTACCAAAGGCTTCCCAGAATTGAGCTGGGCAGTGAACCCACAGGGCCACTCCACCTCCTTCCTGCTGGCTGTAAGGCAGGGGTAGGTGAGAGGGAGGCCTGAGACCCAGGGGCACAGCAAAGGTCTAGAGTCACTTCTCAAACCAGAACTTGTGGCGGCAGCAGGAAAGGAAGGTTTGCATTTGCCCACTCAGTGTCCAGTGGGATCAGGGCCTAGTCATGTGGGCTTGGCACTGCAGGTGAGGTGGAGGTCAGCTGCCCATGCCCAGCATCCCATGGGGCTGTAGGTGCGTGACTGCTCAGTCATCCTCACGTTTGTCCTTTTATTGGTGGGACTCTCTTACACAGCTGTTACAACGGAAGTCACTGGGGAGCAGCTGGGCTCTCTTCTGGCCCCTGCAGGGCCCAGCCCAGGCTAGTGCAGTGGACTGTCGAACACCACATCAGGTAGGATGGAGACTTTCAGCTTCTTTTCGGGCCAGCTGTACTCTTTGGGAAGTTTGAACTGTGGAGGGAGCAAGCACAGAGGCTGAGTGCACATGTTAGCAGACCCACTGCCTTCTTCCCAGACTGCCTAGAGTGGCCAGGACCCTCACCAGGCCCATCCCTGGGTGCTGGGGCAAGATGGGCCACTGGTTGCCTGGCTTCAATCTCAAATACTAGACCCAGGTAGGTGGCTGAAGTCAAGCTGCTGGAGTTCAGTGACCCCTTCTTCAACTACCCTGGCCGGGACAATAATTAACCCCAGGTTGGAGGAGGGATGTTTTCTAACTCCTCCTTGACCGTGCTGACCTCCCTCCAGCTCACTTCCTTGGTTCTGCCTCTGGCCACAAGCATGTAAGGAATCTGTTCCCTGAGGCCCTGGGACTGGAGAATGGGGGGCAGGGGGAGGATGTTGATGCTACAGAGAAATGGCTTGAGGTCTAAAACTGCAGATTATCCCTGCCATGGCTTCTCTTTTGAAGGCTGGTGCAGAAGTTATCCTGGAACCTGCCTTCTGCAGCCTTTGCCAAAGGGTCCAAGGGAAGGAGGTCTTGCTCGGCTTCAGAGGGAGCACAGGAGCAGAATGAGTATGGCAAGAGGGGAGTTCTTGGGTCTGGTTATCCTGAGGAGGAGCAAACCCTCCACCCTGCTCCCCTGTTCATTCTCATCTGCTTTCCAGGGTTATCAGCTTGAGAGTGGTCCCAGTGGTGGCTAAGGAGAGTCCACTGTCTTCCTGCCCCACCTTGGGAATCACTGACTTGCTTAGTTTTATTTCTAGAGCTTCTGGTGGGGGTAGGGGGGAAGAGACTGACATATCTTATTCCCTTTATATTCTAGGAGCCTGAATGTGGTCTGGCACACAGCTGCTGCTCAAGAGATGTGCACTGACTTAGAAATAAGGCCTGCCTTTCATGACTCCCACTGTCCTGGGGCTAGGTGAGAAGTCAGGCCGGGCTGGACAGGAGGGAAGAACAGGGCCTCAGTCTGCCTAGAGCTGAAGCTGGAAGTGAAAAGGCCTGATACTTCCTGGCTGGCTCCCTGTCCCTCCCTCTGATGGGGGACTGTCCAAGCCAGGACTAAAGTGGAGAGTGGTGCAGGGTATGGGGACAGCCTCTGGACAGGAAAGAAAAAAAAAGTCATTTTTAGTGACCTACTTTCCTAAGCTTCCCTTGGCTCCTGTCCCTCCTGCCTGGACTGTCCCCCTCTCACCCCCTCAATATCTAAGCTCAAAGCAGCAGCCTGGCGCAGAGCCATCCCAGTGCTACATGGCCTCTCCGGAAGCGCTTCTGGGCAGCTGGCTCTGGTCTGACTGAATGGGAGCTGGGCCTCAGGGACCAGTGGCTTGTGGGGGTTGATTGGCTGGCACAGACTGGGTGCTTGGTGACTTCTGAATGTATAAATGAGTTAATTTATCAAGCTGTATCCCAGAGGATAGAGAAGACAGTATCCTATTAGGGGTGACCTCAGGCTCTGAGAAGTTTCTGTCCACCTGGAGACCCGGACAGGACAGTCCTGCCCTGTGCACTCTCCTCTACCCTGTGGATGTTGGAGGCCACTGTGCACTGTCTGATGTGGCTCTAGGAGTCCTGGCAGCTGGGAGCTCCTGGCTCAAAGCGAGTTCCTGCCTGGCCTCTCTTTGCCTTGAAAGCTTGGCCTGGGAGGTGAAGGAGCTCTCCCCCAAAACACACTTCCCAGCAGAAAAGGCAAGGGAAGGGCCTGTTTCTTCCACAGGCAGGGGAGGGCCCAGAATAACTCTCTAGAGGCTGGAGGCCAGCTTGCTAATGTTCTACTAACCTATCGGGCATCAAGGCCAGGAAGGCTCAGATCCCACTGGGGTGCTGCTTAGTAGGAGGCCAGGGGAGGGGAAGGGACTTTCCAGGATGAGGTAAGTCCCTGCAAATGAGGACGCCGGGAACGAGGAAGAAAAACAAAGGGGATTATGGGCTCCAATCCTGTACCCTAGAGGAGTAGCCAAGGAAAGCACAGTCCCCACCTGGCCTGCCAGCTCCTCAGGCTCTGGGCTAGGGTTGGAAGAGGCAGACCAAGAGGGGAGCGCTTATGGCTGAAGAAGGCAGTTAGGAGAGTGGCTGCTGGGTGGCCTGAGGCGAGAGCAGAAGTCCCTTGCTGCCCACCAGAATTCCCCAGTGGAATGTTCTCTGGCAGCAGGCATGAGCTCTCTGTTCAGAACCTGCCAGGAAACAGCAGGGGCCGGGGAGCTGACTCTTCAATGAGGTTCTCAGGAGCCGGCAATTCGGTTTGCTGGATATCCTTAAGAGAGCTGGGGGTGGTGGCAAGGCAGAGAGAAATAAAGCTGTTTAACATCTCCAGGGTCTCCTTTCCAGCCTATCCTGACACCTGAGAGAGAAAGAGGAGGGAGGAAGAGAAGGAGGAAGGAAGGGAGCGAGGGAGAAAGGGGGCACTGTGAGGGGCGGGGCGCGACAACTATGGACCTGCACGCACACACGCTCTTGGAGACCTAAACCCTTTGTCAGAGAGAATCAAATAGGCTTACTTCCTCTGGAGAAGTCAAATCTTCTAAGTCCTCCAACATTTTCTCTACAAACTCTTCAGTCAACAGAATCTGGGAAGAAAGCACAAGACAGGCTTTTATTTTTTAAATATATGGCGTTTTTGCCAAATGTTAAGATATGGGACCTTCTCCTGGCCATGGAGCAGATACGAGCCGATGGTGATCCGTTCTAGGCACAGAGGGAAGTGCGGGAGGCCTGGCCTGACCGTCACTTGCCCCTCACCTGCAGTATCAGAGGAACCAGGGTAGAGAAGGAAGGGCCTCAGAGCACAAAGGGGAAGCAAGGTGGGGACATCTGGAGTGTGGTAGTGCTGGTCCCAGAAGGGATATGGAAATGGGTGGGAAAATGCTGCTTTTTGGCAGTTCGGGCCTCTTGCATGTTTCAGAGCAGTAGAGGGGAAACAAAAGCCAAGGGGCAGAGAAGAGTTATTGCCAACATCCTTCTTGCCCAATCAGGTCACACGTCACCTTTGCCCTCAGTTGGTAGGACAAAAAGAATCTGTTTGGATTTGGAATACAAGCCCTGTCTGGAATCTGGAAATGCCCTGGAAGGTACATCCAAGAATGTGCTAGGGAATTCAGAGATTGCGCACCAATCTCTCATTTTACAAATGGGAAAGGGACTCTCGACTCCAATTCCTATCTCCAGTATCCACATTCCCTCAGGCCGGAAGGTCCCAAATTCCTGTCCTGCCAGCCCCATTCAGCCACTGAGTTCTTCAAAACTTCCTTTGGGAACCCTCTTTTCCAGCTCGCCTCCCAGCTGTCCCACTTTGCTGCTCCAGTCTGATGCCTTGTCACTTTATGCATCAATGTCTAGGACAGCCTGGCCCCACTATTCAGCTGGCACAACTACCACCCTCAGCCCCTAAAGAAGTTTCACAGCCTATAGGAATGCCCAAGGGCACTCAGGCCTTCCTACACCGGATGGGCCATTTTCCTGCTCAGGCGGACTCTGCAGAGCTAGGCCACGCTCACTTAGGCCTGTACACCAGGCCCAGGCTGAGGATGTTTTTCCTCTTCCCGAACTGTCCCCTTTCTCCACCCTTCTGCTCCCTATGTTGGCCCATGGGGCATTCTGGCCTCTGCACGCCAGGCTGTGGCTCTACCTGCCACTGCTTTGCCTCCTCCAGCAAACTTTGAACATCTTGGGTGGGGCACAGAGGAAGAAAAACAATGGGTGAAGACCACAGTGAAAGGCTCCTCTAAGGGAAAACCCCCTATGAGAAGAATGGGGATCAAGAACTCAAGAAAATACCCATCAGTTTTCCCCTGGGAGTTGTACACTCTGATAAGAACAGTTTCAACATTTAGAATATAGTCAGTTTGTGAGATGAACGGAAATGACAGAGAGAAGCAGCAGGGTCACTAGGGTCCACACAGGATGGAGGGACTGTGAGGAAGTTGATGAGGTGGCGGTAGGAGCAAGGAATGAGAGAAAACTATCCCAAGTGAACACATCAACCAGGCATCCTGCTAAATGCTCATCATCTTATCTCCTCAGTCTCCTTATAGACGAGGAACCTGAGGCACAGAGAGGTCATGCAATTTGCCCAACACAACACAGCTTGTGAGTAGCTGAGACAAGACCATATCCCAGTCATGTCTGGACTCTGAAGTTAGTGCCTGAAGTAAGTACTGCTTCATTTCAAATCCTGAACTCTTAACCTCATGACGCTTATGCATTTGTTCATTCTCATTTGCAGAGCAATCTCCATGATTCCATCATAGCATTCCCTGGGTGCTTCTGCTAGGCCCAGCCCTGGGTGGAGCCCCAGGGACACAGGAATGAAGACAGTCCATTCCACACCTGGACATGCCCTCACCCTTGGCTGACAGGGAGCCAAAGGATGTCTCCTTCCCAGGCTGCAAGCCCAGTCAGGAACAAAACAGCTCCAACCACTGGCCCACATCTCCTCACTAAAGTTTCTGTTTGAGGAGCTCAGGCCTCGAGAAAAGACAGAGATAAGGGTCCGACAGGCAAAGCTGGTCTAGGGAACTGGCCTGAGGTACCCCTCCCTCCCTGTTCTTCCTCCAAGTTCCCCACAGTGGCTGACTTCCTCTCACAGACTACAGTGACCAGTTCCCAATCACACAGTGATCCTCCCACAAGGCTTCTGCTCCTTGCTCCTCGCTCCTCCTCCTCTTATCCCATGGGTCCACCCCTCCCCCCACAAGTCCAGAGTTTCTCTACCAGTTATCACCAGTCTGCTTGAGTAGTACAAAAGTCACATTCATATTTTTGGCATTTCCGGGACTTGTTGCCATCTCTTCAAATGCTAGCACAAACACAAGCATACCTAAAACCCAATTCTATTACAATGGCTCCAGTCTGGGACAGGCTGGGCTGATTTCTAACCCGCAAATAACTTGGGAGGGAGAGACATTTCTGCCAGAGGTAAATAGGTCTGGGACTGTAACTAGTTCTGGCGGTGGGATGAGGTGGGGGAGGGCTCACAGGGACTATGGCCACCCAGTGCGACACCAAATAGCTGTTTTTCAACAATGGTAAAGATAACCCCACCAACAATGAGTTCAGTCCTAAATCAGTTCCTCTGACAAAGGTTTGGAATTGGTGGCGGAGAGAGGATGGGTTATAGTGGCTTTTAGTAGAACTACCAAGGGTGTAGGGTACCATCTGTGTGTGGAATCTTCTGTATTCTGCTGGGGAAGGGGATGGCAACACCGAAAAAGGGGACCAATCCTAATTGCTGGTCAATTTTCACTTTTGGTGATTTGCTGGTTCCTGCTGGAAAGTTCACATTATTATTATTTAAATCCTCACCTAAGGATATTTTTCCATTTATCTTCAGATAGAGTCAGGGGGAGGAAGAAACATCGATGCGAGAGAGATACATCGATTGGTTCCCTCTTACATGACCCTGACCAGGGCCAGGGACCGAATCGCAACTGAGGTACGTGCCCTTGACTGAATTGAACCTGCTACTCTTTGGTCCACAGGCTGACACTCTAACCGCTGAGCTAAACCGGCCAGGGTGAAACTTCAAATTATTTTAAAGAAACTAAACAGGGTAAAATTATACATGAGATCTGCATGATATTAAGGGTGACATTCCCTGCAAAGAAACACGACAGACTGTCATAGCTCCAGGCACCTAATTTAATTTCCTTTGGGAGTTAAACCTTAGAGGCTTGAATTCAACAAAGACCCTGTTCTTTGTATATTTCAGACCTGGAGCTGAGAATGTTAACAGATCTTATCAACAGGACACTGGAGATAGACAGCTATGATGGAGCACTCTCACGAGTAACAGACTCCCTGTTGTGATACAACTGTGGGAAAAGCCTGTGCAATTCTGGGGCTTGGGTTCTTCAAGCTCACTGGGTCCCTATGGAGCTGCCTGGCTCTGCCACAAATAATAACAGGAATGGTTATGACAATAACAGTAGTAATGACAACACCACCAATAGCAGGAGCAATGCCTCCTCTGTGTGCCAGGCACTAGGCTTAGTGCTTGACCACCCTGAATTTTTAGGGTGGTCCTGCAAGGGAGGAAACTATCATCTCCATTTTGTAGACAAGCAGGTCAAGAAGAGATAAGTCTCCTGGACTTTACTTATTTTTTTAATATGCTTTTTTATTGATTAAAAATTTTTTTCTTTATTAATTTTAGAGAGAGAAGAAGGGAGAGAGATAGAAACATTGATGAGAGAGAACATCAATTGGCTGCCTCCGTATGCCCCCCACTGGGGATCAAGCCCACAACCTGGGCACATGCCCTGACAGGGAATGGAAGCGGGATCTCTCAGGCCATGGGACAATGCTCAATTTACTGAGCCACACCAGCTAGACGATTTTTAAAAAATTATCCAAACAAATAAACAAAAAAAGAATAGTGATGTAACCTTATGGTAGTAGAGGATGCTCTTTTCCCATCTGGGGAAGGTATTCTGATTCTAGAAGCCTCGTATACCCAAAGCTGACTCCTCTCTCTCCTCTGATTGGGGAGATGAAGATGACTTTTGTTTGGACCAATGGCCTAGAAAACCAACAGTCCCAACCCCAATCAGCCATATATCTCCTGGCCAGTTGCTTAGTTCAAAAGGGCTGGAATCCTGAGAATCATAGACATAGGGCTGTTCAAAAACCAGGTTGGTCAACTGGAAAGGCAGGCAAACCATGCCCAAAGATGGTTTCCAAGTGGGCACAAAAGGGAAAATTTTCAAGCCAGTTGGAGAATATATACATCAGGTAAAAGTTACTCTGGCCCAGAAAACAGCAGTAGAGAGTAATAATAATAATGATGAAAATTATAATAGCATTCACCAAGTGCTGAGCATAAAATGCTTACATTTGTGCACAAACAGTCCTAGAAGGTAAAAGACTCTCTAGTGAGAGGGGAAAGCCCCCCAACCAAATTCCCCTGGGAAATTTTTGAAAATATGAAGACTAAGTCCCATCCAGACCCCATGAATCAGAATATCCTGGGCAAGACCAAGGCATATACATTTATGAAACACCCTGGCCGGTTTGGCTCAGTGGTTAGAGTGTCGGTCTGTGGACCAGAGAGTCACGGGTTTAGTTCCCACTAAGGGCATGTATCTCAGTTGCAGTTTGTCCCCGGCCCTGTTGGGGTCATGTGGGTGGCAACCACTTGATGTCTCTCTCACACAGCTGTTTCTCTCTCTCTCTCTTCCTTCCTTTCTTCCTCCTGCTCTATCTGAAGATAAATGCAAAAATGTCCTCGGGTGAGGATAAAAAATGAATAAGTAAAAATAAAAATAAAAGGCACCCCACAAGATCATGGTAGGGGGAGTGCTAGGAATACTCAGGCTCACAGGGGAAAGGCTTAACCAATGGGAGTGAGTTGGTAGCTGTAGCTCCCTGCCCCCATTGCACCCCACCTTTGGTCAGGGAGGGGGGTTTGGAATCTAGGCCAGAAACTTAGTCCAAGGTGGTCACACAAGGTGCCTTAGGATAGCCTGGCTGGTTGGTGAAGAGGGACGACTGTCAACAACGACCCAATTCCCTAGGCCCCAGCAATTTCAAAAGGAACTAAAAAAGTGATCTTCTAGCCCTGGCCGGTTTGGCCCAGCGGTTAGAGCATCGGCCTGCGGTCCTGAGAGACCCGGGTTCGGTTCCCACTAAGGGCATGTACCTCGGATGCAGTTTGTCCCCGGCTCTGGTCAGTAGTGCGGGTGGCAGCCACTCGATGTGTTCCTTTCACGTCGATGTTTCTCTCTCTCTCTCTCTCTTCCTCACTCTACCTGAACAAAAAATGGAAAAATGTCCTCGAAAAATGTCCACGGGTGAGGATAAAAAAAAATAAAATAAAATAATAATAATAATAATAAAAGTGATCTTCTGTCAGTGCCCTCCTTGGGCAGGCCTGGCTATGCTGCAGGCAGAAACCCAGATGCTGCAGATCTGGTTCAAATGTCTGTGGTCAATGATATTTCTGAGTCTGCAAATAGTGCTGACAATGCCCACTCCTTCCCCTTGGTATGACAATCCACACTTTGTCCAGGGCCTTGTTTGCATTTCATGTTGACGCATTGTTCTTGCTTCCCAACAAGTTTGGCTTTCTTTTTCCCTCTCTTTCCTTCTCTGAGGGAAGGAAATGTGTTGTTTACAGGGTAGGGCCTGCCAAGGAGCTGCTCTGGCACCCACGATGGCAGTGGGGGAAGCAGGGATGAGGAGGCAGTCCAGTCTGTGTCCCCCTCACCCCAACAGGCCAGCACAAGCCAGAAAACAGCCTGGAGACTCTAGGCTCAGGGGCAGAGGTGTGTGTGGCAGGTAGGGCCGCGGTGGTGGTAGCACAGCGAGGCCTCACTCATTTCCTATTCTCGGTGGGTGGTGAGACGTTGGCTTTGGTGGTCAGGAGCAGGCTCAGACTCCTCCTGCTCTGGCTGTTGGCTGGTGAGGGCACAGCAGGCCATCACAGTCATCGCCTGAAAGGGAAGGTGGTGTATTTCCCCAAGCACAGTGCTGGGATTTAAACCCTAATGAGCGTACCCCTGGACAATGTCACCATGACAGCCCAAACAAAGGCTTCCAGGGAGAACAGGTTGTGGCCAGGTTCACCAGTGGAGGGAGAACAGTAGAGGCACTGAAGAGGAGCTGCCCAGGACCTGGGTCAGGGATTGCTAAGTGTCTTTCACACAACATCTAAGTGAGTGAATAGGGACAAGAGAGGGCAGGGGCTTGTCCTTAGGACAATGGTGAGTCAGAGGAGGAGAAGCCAGCAGTGAGTCCTGAAACCTGGCTTGGAGTGTGGAGTCCACTTTGAATAGCTGCTAGGTGTCTTCTCCCAAGCCTGGGGCCTCCCATCAGGGCTGGTAGGTGATGGCTGGGAATGGGAGCTCCACCTGAGTGAGCTGTCAGACACCACACAGCTGAGAAAGCATTGCTGGGCTTAAAAATAATATTCTCATATTTGGTGATGTGACCTCTATATAACCTCTGGGGCCTACTTCTCCCACTTCAGATCAATCCTGACTAGGGACGGATGAATGACTTAGCTCTGGGCTGGGCTCCCGCTCACAGCACTAACAGCATGGTGATGATAGACTCAAGGGAGAGGGCTTGTTTAAGCCACTGGGATAAGGAATGCTGAGGGAAGGTATGCAGGAAAGGATGCTGGCAAGCCTCCCTCAGTCTGAAGACCTGCATGCAAAGCTCCAGAGGTGACTGATAGGCTTTACCATCTCAGTGAGGATGAAAACAGCAGATGGTAGGGCAGAGGGAATAAAGGTGTCAACCTCTGGAAATAGAGAAACCTATGGAATTGGAGCAGGATTCCTGTCTCTCCAGTTCCTCCGGGAAACAGAGTGTGTCCACACTGTGCTCACCCTGGGGTTGCCGGTGGCCTTGACTTTCCTAGGGTGAAGAGAGACAGGGAGAAAAGACACATGGAGAACAGGTGCAGGCCCAGCAGTAGGAGAGTGTGGAGGCCTGTCTGGGGACACTCCACAAGCTCCAGAAAGGGCCCAGATTCCCTCATCTTTTGCCTTTTTTTCTTAGCCTCTCCTTTGTCACCCTCCTCCCATGTGGGGTGTCATTGCCATGCCGTTTCCCCAAGAGATAACAGGCCTGGGCTGGCAGCCAGAACAAGGTGCCAGGGCTGGGAATGAGGGCTTCCAAGACTGTTGAAGGCTGATGCAAGAAAGTCATCCCAGCCCCTCCCGATTCAGCTGGGACCAACAGGGTGGTTCAAGCAGCAGCCAAGAAAACAGAAGTCTGGGTCTCTTGCTCTCACTGGTGACAAGCCTAATCCCAGGCCTGTAGGAGGTCCTGCAGACTCCCAGGGAGACAGCTAGCCCCAGAAGGAGACCTAGAGGCCCACAAGTAATTACATGCCCAGGTTCCCACAAGCTAGTGAGCTGCCTGTGACCACAGTAGCAAGACCCTAAAGGGAAAGCAGGCTGGCAGTCAATTGCAGAAAATGCTGACTGCTTTGGGGGCGGGGAGGAGGACTGGTGTGGGTGTTGGTCGTACAGCTGAGGACTGGCTGGGGGCAGGGCAGAGGGTTTCTCAGGACTTGTTGGAAAGGGCCTGAGAAACCCCTTGGTAAGTGAGGGTGCATGCTTGGGGAGTGGGGCCCCAGCCAGCTTTCCTGGGAGCTCCCCTGTGACTTGGCCCCTGTGGTGGACCACACTAATGAGCCCATAACACAGGCCTTTGATTAAGCAGCTCTCAGCACAGCAACTTTATTGAAACATGCCGAAGCCAGCAGCTGGTTCCCACTGCTCCCGGTTCCCCAGGCAACAGTGCATGGGAGGGGACCATGTGCATGGGAGTCAGCAGCGCCCTACCGCTCAAGCTCACTGAGGGGCTGCTGGCGAAGCGAGGGGAAGTGGAGGTGGACTCAAATGCCAGCAGCCAGGGATAAGAAGCTTGGGAACTGGGGTTGGGTCCAGAACTTTGGGGGAACAGAGGAGCAACATGGCATCTGCTGAGTCCTGGGGGTGGGGGAGGCAAGGTCCCCAGGCTTCTGAGAACTGGAGATGCTGACCACCCCCTTCCTCAGGTCAAGATGTTCCAAGGGGGAGGTGGGACTGGAGAAAGAGGTTCAGAGTTGAGGATGTAAAATGTAACAGTGGGGAGGCGGGGATTGGGGGGGTGGGGCAAATTTCTTCTTGAGTTTTGGGAGACCCAAGTCCCTACTTTCCCAAGAACATGTGCTTGAACCTTCAACACACACAAATGTTATCTGAGGACACTGCTGCTGAGACCTGTCAGCACTTGGGCATCTACTGGGAATGATGTCCTGTGAACTCTTAAGGACTGGGGTCTCCGACACAGTCCCCACTTTCTTCCTCTTTACTAGCTCTGCCCAGGTAAGAGGCCTGGTCCCTACCTCTGTCCACAGAGGGAGCCTGCTGGGGGTGGGTTGGGGAGGCCCTTTCCACTTGTACTAAGCTAATTTCAAATGTTTCACTTCAAGCTTTTGCTACAGCAACTACCAACACCACATGGACAGAAATCTAATGTTACCAAGAGGGACTTTTAAAATGTATTTATAACTTTATGGTTCAAAGTAATTTTGTTATGAAACAATGTAATAACAACAGTGGAAAAAAGCAAGATAATTTATGGAACACAATATCCCTAAAGCACCAGCTTCCATTTCTACCTTGGCTGAATCTGGGGAGTGTGGTTGGTATCCTTTGTTTGCTGTTTGTTTTAATTAAGGGTTAGTATCTTCGGGGGAGGGGGAAGGAGTACTGGCCTAAAGGAGGAGAAAATCAGCTGCAAGACAACACATACATGCAGACAGAAAGCATGCCTGCATCAATAGTATATATGCTTCACAGACCCCCGCACCAGATTGTGTTAAACCCACACAACTCTCTTCCCCTCTACTGTAATCTCCTGCGCCACCCTCCCCACCCCTCAACAAGGCAGGTCACCTTTTGGATTAGGGTCAAATTCCCTTTCTTGATACTCCTGAGAGAGGTAAACAGAGTGTCCCTCCTCCCGCACCACAAACAATCAAACAAACAAACAAACAAAAAAGGATGTTGCTCCTCTAATACATCTAGGAGTGTGCTGGACCAGGCCCAAGCACCTATGAGGCCTGCAAGGAGGTCTATGGCTTTCAGGCCCCAGCACCCCACTTGGCAGTGGCTCTGAAGCTGTGCTCCAGCCAGAACAAAGTGTTCTGGACAAGCCAGCAGGTTTCTGTGCAAAGAAGCTGGGTCTCCATCAGGAGGAATGGGAGAGCCACTAGATAAGGGGCGGGGGAAGCTCTGCCTGCTGAGGCCTGCCCATCCCAGCCCCAGGTCCACATGCCCACTTTCTAGGAATTCTGGTGGGATTTCCATAGGCATTCCAGAATGGCCTCCATAAGCTCTCCCATTCTGTTTCACCCTTGGTTTCCCCAGGGTGCAGAACGTGACACATTCCTCAAACATGGATTTCCATGGCAAACAGAACTACCAATGGCCAGGGCCTAGAGAGTTATTGCTTGTGTCTCAAGTGATAGAGGAGAGGCCAGGAAGTGCTCCTGAAGCTGACAGGATGGGCAGCAGCAGCCACAGTCTACTTGGCTTCTCATAACCAGCCCTGAGGAAGGGAGCCACCAAGAGCTGCCAAGGGAGGAGAGGAAGGGGACGGTGGGGAAGAGCCTATGTAAAGGAGGTGGGAAGAAGAAAAAGAGCCTTCTCACTTGTAACCAGGGTCCATGAGCTGCGTAAGGGTGCTCCTCAGTGGCAAAGGCGCCTTCCACTCCCGTGGAGACGAATGTGATGGCCATGTCACCTGTGATACTTTTATATGTAAAGTGCCGTCCATGCAGGAGCCTGCCCCTGGGGGTGGGAACATGGAGACAGTGAGCAGCAGGCCTGGCCGAGGCTCAGGGACTCTGGGGACTATGCTCCCCGGGACAGGATGCCTGGCAAATACCCTCCTGATTGCCCAATGGTCCACTAACAGGGGACTATAACTAAACATGTTCACTTCAACACCTTCCAAGACAGGCCTCTCATGATTTCTCTCCTGGCATTTCTTCCAAAGTGCTCAAAACTAGCAGATACACTAGATCAGCACTGAAAGGGCCTGCAGGGGTCATCGAGTCCATCTCCTTCATGTCCTGGTGAGGTCAGAGAGGGCAGTTAGCAATGTGCCTAAGGTCATGTCCAGAGCTAAGGTGGGGGAAGGAATCGTAGCCCCTGTGTTTAGAGGATGGGGGTAAAGTAGTTCCTAATTTCCCACACTCCTGGATGCTGGTGGAGGTCCTTCACAGCACAAACCCTGTGCCCAGAATCTTCCACCTCTTATGCATCCTTCCACAAGATTTAAATGACTAGCCCCAAGGTGACAAGTATATCCTAAGAAAGAGAGAAAGAAAGAAAAGCTGAAGCTAAGTGGGGTCACTCTGAGAGAGCCACAAGAAGTTACTGTTAATCCCCAGTCTGGAAATACGTCTGGGGGAAGGGCAGGCAGGAGCAAGGAGTAGGGCAGAGATGCCAGTCAGCAAAGGAAGCAAAGCTGCTCTTTGCTTTCTCAGGCTCCCCAGATTAACCCTTTCCTAGTCTAAAAGCCCTTGAGCCTGGCTCAGGGAGGAAGCTGGGGAGAAAATGGCTGGGGTTCTGGCAGTGTTTGTGTGTGCGTGTGCGTGTGCATGTGTGTCCCTGCCAGCCACCATTCATCCTGACTAGCAGCTATCTTTGCCCTGCTAACCAGGGTGGCTGGCCAAGGCTGGTCACTATCCAAGCTCCTTCTCCAGGCTCTAGGGACAGTGTGGAGGGTCCAAACCAGTGCAGATCTGGTTCTAAAGCCCTCATCTTTGGCCAACACTCTATATAAACATTTATGTCACAGTGACTTGTTCTTCCCTATGACAGCAGCAGGAGCTTCTGGGGTCATTCTTCCCCTGCCCTTTCTTCCTTGTCACTGTTGTCTGAGTTTCGAGTTATTCTTATTGTCTCTCCTGCAATAAAATGAGGTTGGAACCCCTGAGAGCTGTGGCGGAAGCCAGCTGCAACAGATTCAGCCCAATGCAGCATCCCCAAGGAGAGAGCTGAATTCTGGACACAGGGCTGGGTTTTTGGCACTGTGGACAGTAGCAGAAGGGACACAGCTGGGCTTTCTGGTCCCTGAAGGAGTCTGCTGGGCTGGCCATTGAGTTTGAAGAACTGAGTGTTTTGCATGGGAAAAGCAGCAAGCAAGAGAAAGCAGAGCCCAATCCACCAGAGCCCCTGGCCTACTACTCCAGTGCTATGGGGACCCTGCCACCCCTAATTCTGGGTTTGGGGGAGAGCAGGGGCATCTGAGACGCCCTAGGTCACGGAACCTCTCCCTAAAGGAGCAGGGATGAGGAACACTTCTATGGACAAAAGAGAGTTCTTCAGTACACTGGGGCTACTCGCTGGCTGAGTCCACAGGCTCCCCCACTGGCTCCCATGGAGCTGCCTGACTAGTTCTCCTCCCTCCCTGGGCCCCAAACTCCAACTAGGTGTGGGGGAAACGGCGAGCATGGGCATGGTGGCCCCTTAAGGCCAAGTTGGGTGCTGTGGGACTCTCACCTTAGGCAGAGAGGAATGAGGGCTCCTGACTCTTGGTTGAATTTCAGATGTACGCTCTCGAGTTGCCTTGTGCGGATCAGCTCATGGGGAATAATGGCCGTGGAGCTGTCGCTTTCCAGGCTGTCTTTTCGGCTCCTGTGAAGCAAGCACAGGAACAGGTTCTGACCACAGGAAGAAGCAAGATGGCAATAACAGTGACGATGACAATGATAACAACAGCTACCATTCATAAGAACTCGCCAAGCAACATCACAACACCCCATGAGGTGGGCAGTATTATTCTACTCCTTTCACAGATAAGGAACCAAGGATCAGAGAGAGTAAGTAACCTGTCCCGGCTGCACAGCCAGGGAGTGTGAAGCTGGAATGTGGTCACAGGTAGATCTGCTTCTAAAGCCCGCATCTTTGGCCGACACACTACACAAATGTTTATATCAAAATGATTTGTTCTTGCCCTGGCCGGTTTGGCTCAGCGGTTAGAGCGTCGGCCTGCGGTCCTGAGAGACCTGGGTTCGGTTCCCGCTAAGGGCACGTACCTCGGTTGCAGTTTGTCCCCGGCCCTGGTCGGTTGTGCGGGTGGCAACCACTCGATGTGTCCCTTCACATCGATGTTTTTCTCTCTCTCTGTTCCTCTCTCTTCCTCCCACTCTACCTGAACAAAAAATGGAAAAATGTCCTCGGGTGAGGATTAAAAAAAAAAAAAAAAAAAGATTTGTTCTTCCCTATGATAGCAGTAGGAGCTTCTGGGGTCCTTCCTCCCAAGCTCTGGGGCCTCAGACTGAGTTCTCACAGCTGGGATACTAGAAAACCAGGAGATATGGCACCAAGAGCTTCCTTCCAGCTGACCCTGAAAAGGCTGTGATATCAGAGCAGGCTCTAAGTTTGCACACTCTTGCTAATGGCCAGGAGCTGCAGTGACATCCACGTCCTTTGTCTAACCAGGAAATGATACAATCCTCAGGCAGGGGTGGAAACCAGGCTCTCAGTAGTCAGACCAGTGAGCTTGGATGGGCCACAAAGCCCTGTATCAGTCTTTTTGATGGTGGCCTTGGCTGCAGTGAGCTGTCACTGTTGCCTCATACTCCCTCCTGTCCTGTTTCCCACCAACCGATTGTCCCACAGCTAGGCCACAGGGTCTCTTTGCAATCTAAGATTTGCTTTTTCAAATTCAGCTGCCCTCACTGTAATGTCTCAAATCTGACTCAGCCAGAAATGAGGGTTACCCACTGATCCCATTCAAAAGGCCGGATCCTGGTTCGGGTTTTGAGTCTCAGAACAATTCCCCAGTGTCCATCAAAATACTGGTGAGAAGCTCTAGTTATTTATAATTCAAGTGGCCAAAGCCACCCAGGATGTCTGGGCCGGACAGGCAGAGAGCCAGTGAAAGGCAGGACCAACCTCCTCACATACTGGAAGGCTGAGCCCTGGGGCCTGTGGCCAGTAAGGCACCCTGAGAAGCAGAGAACCCCCGTAGAGGGAGGGTGTGAGGTCAGCAGGCAAGAGGATGGAGGGTGACATTGGTTTGTAAAAGCCCCTGAGGTAATGGGGACCCTTCCCACCAGCTGGGTGGACCCACCCAGATGTACGTGACTGCTCTTTCACAAAGCATTCCCTTCCTCTGGTTTCCCAAAGCCAGTTCTGAAACTGCCCTTTGCTCTAGCTTCTCTTTTGACAGACCCTTTCACAAGACCCGAGAAGAAGACAAATGCTCTGGCCAAGAGGGTCACAGAATTTCAGCAGTGGAAGGAAACTCAGGTTGTTTAATCTACCTCTTTCCTTTATAAAATAGATCCAGTCACATGTCTGAGGACACAGAACTGGTCTGTGGCAGGCCGGTGTGGGAGCCTAGTACCTCTGACCAGCTCTTTCCCTTATACCCAGCTGCTAGGCCTTCTGCCTCCCTTCCCAGGAAAGGAGAGCTACACCAAACACCACCTTTCAGCAGACACCCAGATAAGGGCAGGGCTCAGGAGAGAGCAGCTCTCCTTTGGTGAGCTTCTACTCTGCTCCAGAGTAAGGAGTCCATAGATTTTCCGGGTCTTCACATCAAGCACCCGTGTAGATTCACGGTTAACCCTACTTTTACAGATGCGGAAACTGAAGCTCAGAGAGGTGAGGTGGCACAGAGTGAGTTTAAGTGGAAGAGCCAGGGCGTGACTCTGACAGTTACTTCCCTGTGCCATCTCTGACAACAGTCCACACATACATACACCATCATGCTCCCAAAAGGGGCCACGGCCTGGCTGCCAGGCAGGGCCTCTGAGCCTTCAGGGCCTGCTAGAAGGAGGATCCTGGCCTCTCTGGCACAGGCAAAAATGCTGATGAATAGCAACAGGGGGTGGGGGTGGGTGGCTGGGAGAGAAGAATCAACAGCACACAGGACTAGAGACATCTCAAGCTGGAGGGAAAAATAAATTGTTGAAAGTCAGCTAAAGTCACCTTGGTAACTGCTACAACACACTCAACCCTGAACGAGGACATCAAACCCAACTGCAAACAGCTTTAAAGAAATGGAAAAGAACTTAATCATCTGAAGAATTAATGTGACAAGTGCCCACATTTACACCTCCCACCAACCTTCAATCATTTGAAAACGTACTTTAATCTTTTAAGAGAAAAAAAAATTGCAAAATGCTGGATCTGCAGTCCTGGAGCTTGGGTATTTCCCGCATGCTGCTTCAATGGAAATGCGGCTACTCCACACACACGCAGGAGCCCAGCTTTTTGCTGATTTGTTTTTTCTGGACATCGATGCAGAAGCATGAATTATTTGTGTGGGCTGGGTGAGGTATTAAATCTGCAGCCGACACAGGTTTGCAATGTTTTGCATGGTTGTCAGCTTAATCTTAGTCATAAAAAAATAAGTAGTGTGCTCATTGGCATGGCCTAATTTTTCAGCTGGGTTGTCTTCTCCCTCTGTTCCCAGTGGAGGGGAACACAGAGGTTGGGGGTTGGACGGGAGAAGTGCTCCCAGGAAGGCATGGTCCACACTCACTGGAACTACTAGGGATATGGGGCAAGGGGATGAAGGATCACTTACTGCCCCAGGAGGCAGAGTGGCTAATAGCACTGGTTCAGGCAAATGACTTAACTTCTCACTAAGCTTCCATATCCTCTCGATAGAAATAAATAACAATACTCCTTCTTTATAGGATTAAATGAGATGACCCAAGCTAAGCATCTAACAGCGTCTGGGATGTATTAGGTGCTCAAAATATATCTGGAATGCATTAACAGGATGTTAGCTAGCTGCCTCTAGAAGTCTATCTGCTCCTCCTGCAAGAAAGTTGACAGCTTAATACAGACTTGTTTGCCTTTACCCTGGGCCCATAATCCAACTGCCTCTGGCCAAATCATTCCCTCTTTCTGAACAAAGGTCCTGCCGAGTTTGGGAGAGGGGAGTTCTGAGATGGAGCTTGAAAGGGCTCCTGGCTCCCTGAGCAGACATCGCAGGCCCTGGGAAGGCCCAACTACAGACCAATGAAAACCCTTGAGGCCTCTGTTCTGTGGAGGGAGGAACAGTCAGGGCCACCTTCCTTCTACAGAGCACAATTGGCCTACCTGTAATTCTTATCTACTGATCGTCAAATTGCCCGGAAGTAGTTGAATCCACCCTCCACCAGAGCCTTTCAAATCCCTGAAGCTGTTCTCACTGTCCATCAACAGTTTCTCTTTTCTAGAATTTGTGCCCCAACTTTAACTATATATATATTTTTTTCTTTATTGATTTTTAGAGAGAGAGGAAGGGAGAGGGAGAACAAGACAGAAACATTGATGAGAGAGAACATCGATGAGAGAGAACATCGACTGGCCGCCTCCTGCATGTCCCCCAATGGGGATTTGGTCCACAACCTGGGCATGTACCCTGACCAGGAATCAAACCAGCGACCTCTTGGTGCATGTGTCGACACTCAAGCACTGAGCCACACTGGCCAGGCTCCAGTATATTTTTAAGACAAGGTTCTGGAATCTTCCATCCATATGTTACTCTCCTATGAATTCACTATAGCTTGTAAAGTCAGAGTGTCATGTTCAGAAGTAAAAGGTCATGTGTGGAAGTAAATATACAATGTGGCCTGAGCAGTGCAGATCACAGAGGGACTATGAGCTTTCTTGTTTGGGGGATATAGATATCTATCTATCTATATGTGTGTATTTTTTAATTGATTGTGTGTGTGTGTGTGTGTGTGTGTGTGTGTATTTTTTAAAATTGATTTGTGTGTGTGTATTTTTTTTAATTGATTTTTTTAGAGAGAAAGGAAGGGAGAAAGAGAGAAACATCCATGTGAAAGAGAAACATTGATCAGCTGCCTCCTGCACGCCCCCTACTGGGGGTTGAGCCCTCAACCCAGGCATGTTCCTTGAATGGGAATTGAACCAGGACCTCTTAGTCCATTGAATCAGGACGACACTCAAACCACTAAGCCACAACTGCCAGGCTGGGATATTTTATTTCTATTAAAACTGTCATCAAATTATTATTCCTTACAACCTTATCGCACTAACAGCTCATATTGCATTCCCCATCAGCAAACTCTCCCTTAGGCTTTCTCCCATGGGCTGCACTTAGACCTCTTCACCCCCATCTTGTAGGTCCTGTGGATTATTTGGAGCTAAGAGCAGAACTCCGCATTATCTGGCTAGTGTTTCAAGCATTTCTGAAACCTGACTCTGGCATATATCATATCAGCATTCCCTTCTGACTTCACCTTACTGACAAAACTAATAAACTGCCATTGATGTTCTCATTCCAGGCTTTGACTAAACAGTGAGCAGGACAGGACCAGGCAAACAGGCTGCTAGACTGACATCAGAACTCTGGGTACGCTCACCCAACCAATTATAAATCAACCCAACCATCCTATCACCAAGCCCCTCACCCTCTTGGATGCTCTGTGGATATTTCTCTGTCTTGCCAACAATGATATCAGAAGACATTCTTGAGATGTTTTACTAAACCCCACCTATATAAGGTCTACAGTATTTCCTTTGTCTAACAGGTAGAAATAGGTAACTTATTTCTAAAAAGGCGGTGAAGACGGGCCTGACAGGTTTGACTGTTCATGAGTCCATGCTGATTCTCGGGGCTGTTTCCCTTAAAAAGTGTTCACGGCCTAAGTGCTGAATAATCTAGT